CCGCCCCACGGAAGAGCGGGGCCGCCGCCAAGCCCGCCAAGCCCGCCGCCAAGCCCGCGAAGACCGCGCGGGACGCTCCCGCCGAGAAGGTGCTGAGCGACAAGGAGCGCCGCAAGATGGAGAAGAAGCGCCTGGAGCAGCGGAGGAAGGAAGAGAAGAAGAGGGAGAAGGAGATGAAGAAGTTGGAGAAGATGCTGAAGAAGAGGACCAAGATGCCCCAAGTCCAGGCGGAGGCCCGAGGCCCCGGGGCAGACGAGGAAGAGGAGGAGGAGGACGCCGTCGACGGGGAAGGCGCCACCGCCGCGGGCGCCGCGGAGGGCGCCGCCGGGGTCGGCGGGGGCGCCGCCGGCGGGGGCGCGAGTAGGGCCTGGGCCGCGTGGGACACGGACTCGGGGGACGAGGACGACGCCTACTACGCCGCCCCGCGCATCGGGGGCATCGTGTGGCGCCCCGGGCCGCTCAAGGCCGGCGCGCTGAGCGCCCACCTGCCCCTCGTGGTGTTCCTGGTGTTCTCCGTGCGCAGCCCCTCGTGGGTGCTCAACTTCCTGCTGCAGAAGCGCACGGAGCAGGGCCGCGGCTGCGGCTTCGTGTTCGGGGCGACCTGCTGCTTCCGCGTGTTCCTGGGCTGCGCCTTCTTCTCCTTCCTGAGTGGCCGCTCCAGGCGCCGGGGCCGGGGGCGCGGGCGCACCGGGGCGCAGGGCGCCCGGCGCCGGGGGCGCGACGAGAGGCTCATCTAGGCCAGCCCCCCCTACCCTTACCCCTCCACCATCGCCATCGCCACCACCACCACCACCACCACCACCACCAGACACCAGACACCACCATCGCTGTGTAGTGTGGCGTGTTGTGCGTACTCGTGTGTGTGTGCGGACACGTTTTCCTTTTCGGTTGCTCTGTGCTGTGGCTCGTGCCGGCCTGGCTTTCTCTCCCCGCTCCCCGCTCTCTGGCTCTCTCTGGCTCGCCCTCTCTCTCCTTTTCGAAATTTTCCGAAGTCCGGGCTCAGGCTCGCGCTCCCTCCCCTTCCGCCCACCCCGGCCCCTTGGCGGCGCCCGCGGGAGGAGGGGGAGCGCCGGCCCCGGGGGCCGCGGGGTG